TAGTTTTTTATTATATTAAATATATATTATATTGTAATTATATATATTATATTATATTATAATATAGTCGTAATTTTTAACTATCTAAAGAAATTTAACCTCATAATTTACCAAACGTTGTTACGTTGTTTTTAGAATCAGTACAGCTACTATAATTATAATTTATCAAATATTAAACTACTTTTTATAACAACTGCTTTTTTTTTTAACACAACTAAAAATAATTTTTTTAAAATCTATAACACTACCGAACTAAGCCTCTGTTTTGTGCAGTTACCACTTACCAGTCGTTTCTCTTTCTTGTGGAACAAACTGAAATTGAAAGCCACCCTCCTAAATGGACTAGGAACTCATGTTGTTCCACGAATTACTGATTTGGGCTCTTGATATGCAGTCCATAAAGATGGTCCACAAAATTGTAAGCCATCAAAAAAAGCCCGCCCACCATTTATATTTCAAAGAGAATTATTGAACTCACCATTGGAGTGTACTGAGTGTTAGATTTTTATTCTTTTTTCTTGATTAATACTCTTTAATTAGTAAATTACTGATTTGGGCTCTTGATATGCAGTCCATAATTGTAAGCCATCAAAGAAAGCCCGCCCACCATTTTATATTTCAAAGAGAATTATTGAACTCACCATTGGAGTGTACCGAGTGTTAGATTTTTATTTTTTTTCTTGATTAATACTCTTTAATTAATATTATTATTCAACTAAAAGAGTATTAATAAAAAATAAAAGATAAAAATATTAATTCATGTACTCTAAAGAGATATATTTTTTTTTTTCCTTTATTCTGCTTTGGGAAGGAGGGCCTGTGGATGAGAACATTAGTAAATGAGAAAATTTTTAAATTTATCATGAGTCTAAATTTTTATATATTTATATTGATTAATATTTTTTTAATTAATATAATTATTTAACTAAAAAAATATTAAATAAAAATAAGAAATAAAAATTTAGACCTACTAACTCTAAAAGTGTGTTTAGTTGGGGGTAATGAAAAGTAAAGGAAAGTCAATTCTTTTGCTAAGGCTCAAATCTTTGTTTGGTTAAGAAATTTTTATCAAAAAGACATTTCCAATGGAAAGTCCATTCAACCATTTTGGTGGAAAAGCCATTTATCCCATGATCCAATGGAATTGTGATTCTGACGTTGGTGGAATTGTTTTTTCCCTAACTACCCTCTCCATCTTCTGAACACAAAGTACACGAAATCAAAAGCCACATGTTCTTCTTTCTCAAATCCAACCTGAAATTCACGTTGAAACTCCACCTCGGATACTAGCGTCGAGCACCGCCAAAGATCGTCGGAGTTCGCACCAAGCGGCGCTTAGACCGACATTCACCGTCGATACTGAAGCTTCACTGGCCGAGTTGGCTTTGTCCATTGTCTTTTTTAGTCTGTCCGTCTTCTTTCTCACAGCAGAAGACAATTTCAAGAGTAAAAATTGATGGGTTTGTACCCATATGGAAAAATTCCCTTGAAATTAAAGCCGATTTCATTCTATTGTTGACATGAGTTTCATTTCTATGTGTTTGTACGCATAAATTGATGGGTTTCTTTTTCCATATTTGGTTTGTTGAGATTTTTGATTTTTCAGATCTGGGTTTGTTCTTCAAAATGGTTTTATTACTTAGTGATTACAGATTTGAAGGTGTTCTTTGATTATGGTCTCTTTTTAGATTTCGGATGGTTCATAGTTGTTCTTAAACGGTGATTTTTCATATTTAAGTAAACTTTGAATAGTAGTTTTCTCTTTTTTAGATTTGGGGTATTACATAATTCTTCTTATACGATTATTTTTTCAGGGTAAACTATGGATTATGGGTTTTCATATTTGTGAGTTTATGGGTTTTCATATTTGTAGTTGTCCGGCAAAGAAAGTTGTATCTTGAACTTGATTAATGTTGAGAACAATCTCATGAACAAAAAAAAAAAACGCCTTGTTAGCTTAAAGAACATTCATGTTAATTAATTATGGCCCGTTCATTTGTTAATTTAAGTTTTCAATTCGAGTTGAGATCTGATTTTATGTGAAAGTTTTTAATTGTAACATGAAAAGTTAGGTGTGACTTTTTATGAGAGCTTTTAACTATAGTAAATCTGGAATTGAAAACTTAAATCGATAAAATGAATGAGGCTTATATAATTTAACTTTTTTTTTATTAAGGGTAGTTTTGTCAAGGCACAATTGATGAGGAGATTATTTACCGATAAATTAAGTATTTTTGAGTTCAAATATTTATGAGTCTTCAACACTTCTGTTAGTTTAATATATTTTGGTGTTATTTTGTAGGAAAAATAATAAAATGAGACTTAGTGGCATTTTTGAGTCAAAAATTGGAGCAAAAAGCACTCAATGTCGCATAATGGCCCTCTTGAGCAGGCGTGCCACCTAAGGCGCGCGCCCGCGCCACACCCTGTGTGGCCGCGCAACATTAGGAGCGCGGGCACACCACTAGCCACGCGGCTGTACCCTATGCGTGTTGTTGACGCACTTTGGGTCATTTTTCAGCCCTTAATCAATATGAATGGCCAATTTTAGACTCTTGGATGAGTTTGGCTAAAATTTTATCCATATTTTAGCATACTTAAGCAAAAGAAGCCTTAGTTCTCAACTTGGAGAGGATGAGAGGCACAAAAATTTCTAGAGAGAGAAGCTTGAAGTTGGAGATTCTTAAAGAATGTTTGGGAGAGATTCTTGAAGATTTGAAGACTTGAAACTCATCTCCACAAGAGTTTTTTCTTCATTCTCCATTTTCTTTGTAGTTTTTTAATTTTTGTTCTTAAATTTGTGATTTTAGTTCTGGATTCATCTATGTTGAGTTAGACTTCATGTTTTGGGGCTTGATGTAGCTTTATTTGAACTATGTTTGATTATCTTGTCAATTATTAGTTTAAATTCTATTTTAATTTATTTATATTTCTCTATGCTTAATGTTTCTACTTTATTTGGCCAATGAGTTAGATCATTTTATATTGTGATTTTGATGCTCGAGAGAGTGATTTCATAGTCCGGAATTAAGAAACATAGCCTAAGTTGTTGTGAGTCCGGGAGGAGATCAACACTTAGATAATCTAGTTGAGAGTCTAGGATATTGTGAGACCGGGAGGTGATCAAGACATTGATTATCAACTAGGATTTCGATTGTTGTGAGGCCGGGAGGCGATCGACATTTGAGTTCTAATTTAAGGGCTAAACTTAATGAGTGTATGAGTAATAGATAGGAATATTAATTCGGGTATTCATGCATATGACTTCGTTTGACGCTCGGGAGAGGTAGCGATGTTAGATTAGGTCACTTGATTAATTAATTGAGTGGAATTGGCTAGCATTGGCTTAATAGAATGACCATAGGAATGATAAGGTGAAGTCAAGTCCCTAGTACACTCGTGCATAGAAGTTTCCGTATTTTATCTTATTTTTGTATTTATATCCGTTTAAGTTGTGTTTTATTTTATTTAGTTCGGTTGCCTAGATAAAGTTAAGTTACGATAATCGCAGTACTTAGCGGTAATTTAACACTCAATCCCTGTGGAGATGATACTCACTCACCATTTACTATCAAAATTTGACACCGTACGCTTGCGGGTGAACAACAATCAATCTCATTTCATTCTGAAGTCATTCCATAACTTCAACCAAACAAAAGAATTAATTGTTATTTTGAGTGCATTCCTTTTCCATTATATTCTCATTCTCATTACTATTATCATTGCCATTCAGTCACTGCAACTAAACGCACCCGAAGGGTATTCGTCTCATTTTTCCTTAGTAAATATACTCCTTTCAAATAAAAACAAAAACAAAAATAAAAGGATAAATGAGACAAAAACCCCTAAGAGTGTATAGGTCTGAATTTTTACGCCTTACTCTTAATTAATATTTTTTTAGTCAAATAATTATATTAGTCAAAATGATATTAATAAAAAATAAATAATAAAAATTGAGACTTGTGAATTTTAAGAATAAATTCAGTAATTTTCTCAAAATAAAAAACAAAAAGAAGAAAAACCCATCATTAATGGGTTAGTATAGCGGTAGCGGTACGAATAAATGTCTTTACTCTTTTTTTATGATAAGATTAAGATACCTCTAAATTTAGTTTTGGCAACCTTAATATAGAATTTGTCTGGTTAATAGGCTTTACGGGATTGGAACTCATGATGGTTTGCATGAAATTTGACTATGGTTTGCATGAAATTTGACTCATATTTCGAGTAAAATTGGGTCAAACCCTTGTAATTCTATTGGTGGGTTCTGTGATTTTTTTTTTTTAAGTAAAAATTACACCGCATAATTATGAAAGTAAAGTTGAGATATAGCAAATTTAAAAAATATTTTACAAATAACTATTACGTAGTAATTATTGTAATAATATTCACGTTATGTATAAGTTACCTGATAATTGTTTTAATTATTTTAATTTTTCCTATTTGTAAAACATTTTTGACTAGTGAAATTTTGAAATATGTCTAGCTTTCTTTTTCCTTGATAAACGGTGGGGAGGGGTGAGATGGTACTAGGAATTCTCTTTTTTGAAATGAAAATTGCATTCAAGATGAAAAAAAGATACAAAATGATGCAAGGAATAAGAGTTTTTTTTCCATTTTTTTTTTAATTTACAAAAACTAGAGTAATCCTTTTTTTTTTTAATAACTAAAAGAAATCTTAATAAGAGCACGTAAGATGGTCAGACCACAGAGGACGGTGGTGTCCTTGTTGCATTGACAGAAACCCCACAAAAAGAAGGTGCAAATTGACAATCTAACTGCACATAATACTATATAGCATAAGTATTTATTTAAATCTGTTTACTAATTGGATAGCGATGAACCCTAGTCAAAGCTTCCTTTTTTTTTTTTTTCCTTTGAAAAGATAGTCATGCCTTGATATTATTATTTATTGACACTTGTATATGTAAAGAGATTGAGCGATGAATGATCCAAGCAGTTCCGTTGAATTTTTTGTTATTATTGCAAGCAATTTTTATTTGATTACTTTTATTTACGCATAAAAAAAAAAAAAGAAAGATTGAATGATTAATCTTGCAAGCAATTCCATTGAATGTTGGTAAGATATTTAGGACCTATCTGCAAGAAGCCCTTAGGGAGTCACTTCCTCTCTGACTAATGATGGCTTTGATTGATGGAGATTGGAAGCGGCACAAAGAAAAATAAAATAAAATAATTAATTACAAAAATCTTTCTTCACATATAATTTTTATTTACAAATCATGCCAAATAGTTTGATCCTCGGCGCAATGAAGATGTGAAATATCGATTTTATTCTGAAGCAACTAATAAATTCTCGTTTATTTTGTAAATTTGAATTTTTAATTTGAGTTAAAATGTAACATTTTTTAAGAGTTTTTTATTATAGCAAAAAAAGTTAGATGTGACATTTTTTGAGAGTTTTTTATTGTAAAAATTTAAAACTGAAAACTCAAATCGGTGAAATGAACAAGACTTAAGTATTGAACTATTAATCGGAATAACGTCTATAATATTTTTCCGTCGAAAAACCGGCACCTCTCATCCATCTCCTCCACCCACAAAGTCGCCACTACGACCATTATCATTGTCATGGGACTAGAGCTCTGTTTCTAGGGTGGCCAGACAAGGGTGGCACAGGACTCCAACCACAAAGGAGAAAAGAGAGTGACCAAAAAAAAAAAAAAAAAAACCTAAGGATAGATCTTGAATTGAATTCGTTTTGGTAAATGCTTGAGAGCTACAGGCATATTAATATTTTTGTATATGAAAGCATATTAATATTTTTCAATATTAAAAACTAGTTCTCTGATGAAAGATAAAGAATTTTTTTTTTTTTTTTGAAAAAATATAAGTATAAAAATTAATATTTTTATCTAAATAATTTTTTTGAGTTAAAAAAAAAAACCTTAAACTATGCTCTGATCAACATAAAACTCCAATTGCACATTTGCCTGAAAGCTGTAATAAATTATCAGGGTCAAGCAATTTGGTCTTAATAAATGATAATAGCAAGGTCCTACATCTGTAGTAAGTGTCAAATTAGTATGTGAACATCAAATTTCAACATTTTAGTAGGAAAACCAATCTCAATACAATGTTAATTTTTGTACTAAATTTAACATATATTAAAAGCCCGTTTAGTTTGCCGATTCGAGTTTTTAATTCGAGTTTAGATGTGATTTTATGTGAGAGCTTTTTACTGTAGTAAAAAAGTTAAATGTAACTGTTTTTAAAAACTTTTTACTGTAATAAAACTCAAATCGATGAAATAAATGGAACCTAAACCTTATGCTAAATTTAAAATCAAATATAGCATATCTAACATTATGATATTTTATTATTATTCGTTGATATATTCATCTTTTCTTTTTAGTAATTGCAACATGTCATTTCAAATTATTAGAAACATAAAAATTTATTTTTACAACTTCTTAACCTCAATAATAATGACACAAAAATAGATATAATATTTAAAATACTATTACGAGTTAGAACCCAAAATAGAATGACATTTCAAATATTCCATTATCAAACTTTTTGATATTAAAAATAAGATTTATTTTTTATTTTTTATTTCTTGGTTTGTGATTGCATTGGAGATGGTTGGATAAAGCTTTCTTGAGCTATTGGACAGCTTAGCCATTTCCCATCGGTTGAAAACTCATACAAATTTCCCTGTATGTATGCTTATCATTTTCCCTTTCGATAATGCAACAGGCCCCCCAAAAGAAAAAAAAAACAAAAAAAAAAAAACAAAAAACAAACAAAAACAAAAACAAAAAAAAAACACCTGGGACTCTACAATCTACATAGGCGAAAAGGGTCACAATTTTTGCTCAAAGGGCATAATCGGAACACGATTTTTAACAATAAGCGCACAAAAACAAAAAACAAACAAAAACAAAAACAAAAAAAAAACACCTGGGACTCTACAATCTACATAGGCGAAAAGGGTCACAATTTTTGCTCAAAGGGCATAATCGGAACACGATTTTTAACAATAAGCGCACAAAAAAAAGCGTTTTTAATTCAACATATTGCCAAACGGTCCCCAACCTCCTCTTGTCTTTCCTATTTAGTCCGTGCAGAATCAAATTACAAAAACCAAACTATCAAAGCTAAACGACAACAATCAAAAATCAAATCGCCATGGAAGTATCATCTTCTTCTCCACCGCCATCAAAAAAAGGACCACCAACACCAACCAAACCCTCCCTCTCCTCCGCCGCCGCCGCCGCCGGCCGATCTCCCAACCGCCGCCGCCGCCTCTGCGTCTGCATCTCCGCAACAGTTGCCGCCGTACTCGCGATCGTTTTTATCGCAGTAATCCTCTCCCAGACGGTGTTCAAGCCGAAGCGTCCCATAACGACGGTGAACGACGTGTCGTTGAAGGATCTGTCTCTCAATGTCGCCCGCCTCGGCATCGACCTGAACGTTACCGTCGGCGTGGATCTGTCGGTGAAGAATCCGAACAAGGTCGACTTCAGGTACGGCAACACCACCTCCGTGCTCAGCTACCGCGGCGAGCAGGTCGGCGAGGCCGCCATTCCGGGCGGCGAGATCTCCGCCGGCGAGACCGTGCCGATGAACGTGACGCTTACGGTCATGGCCGATAGGTTGCTGTCGAGGTCGCAGGTTTATTCCGACTTCTTGGCCGGCGATGTGCCGTTCAACTCGTATACGAGGATCGCCGGCAGAGTCACCATTCTCGGGATCTTCAAGATCCACGTCGTCTCCGTCACGTCTTGTGAATTCGCCGTCGACGTTTCGAATCGAACCGTTTCGGATCAACGGTGCACTTACAAGACTAAGCTATGATTTATTTATTTCTTTTTTCTCGTATTTGGGTTTTTTTATTTTTATTTTTTGCTTTTTTGCTTTTTTTCTTTAGAATTTTTTTGTGTACCGATAGATCAAGTTAAATCTTAGGAGACGTTTAATCTTAGGAGATGTTTGATTTATAAATTAAAATCATGTGATTAAAATTATTTTTAATTTATATGTATTTTTTATGAAAAAAAATATTATAATAAACTATAAATCATAATTTAAATTATGATTTAAATCATCCAACCAAACGTATTCTTAATAAAATTACATAAAAATTAAAAGAGTACGTGAATTTAATTATTAGAAAAACTTGGCCACTCAACGTACAAAGAATCTCCTTTCTCCTTTTTTTCTTTCTCGTTTTGTTCTTTGTTTGGTGTAAATTTGACTGGAAAACTGTTTTTGGTTTTCACTTGACTGTTTTGTTTTAAATTTATGTGGACATTGCTAATTTAACGAGGGATTTTATATTTCTTTAGAAAGTTATTATTCTTATGGAATCAGATTTTTGTTTTTTGTTTTTTTTGTTTTATTATTATTATTATTTTTTTTTGGCTTTTCTTGGTTGGACATGTTTGTATTTTGGTGTCTGGACATAGATAGATTATAGATATACCAAATAAAATGCATGTCTGTGTAGCACGAGGAAATTTTTTTTTTTTTTTTATTTTTAAAATAGCGTGAGGAAAGTTCACTTTTGCATGGAAATCGTTCTTTTTAGAGCGACTACAAAAGCAGAAGTGTAATTATTCTGGTAATGGTCGTTAAACCTTCTACATATTAAATTAAAGTGTTTTTTTTTTTTATAATTTAAATATTAAATTAAAGTTACATATATATGATAACTTCAAAATAAAGAGGAGCTTTTTACAGTAATTATTATTATTTTTTTTGAAATGGGATTTTACAGTAATTATTCTGGTAATGCATATTAATGTTAATCTAATCAAATTCATATCAAAATAAAAAAAAAATGCAATAATTAACGGTTTAAAACATAACTCTACAAATTGGTTTTTATATTTTATTACAGAATTCTCCATATTTATCCCGTATAATATCTACATATATACGCCTGTAGAGGTGAATGATAGGATTGTCTTTTTAAGCCAGGCCAGCTAATTAATAACACGCAAGTATGATTATTCCGATAAATCATTGAATTGTTGGAGCTAAACGACATCAACACGCGACTCCTGACCTTGAGGAATGGTTTTTTTTTCCTTTGTTGAATTGGAATTCAACAACTTGCTTATATATTTCAACTCCGGACTCGGAGCATTAGTCTTTAGTAAAACCAAGGTCCAAAACGGGCTTTCAGCGTCATTAGCCCATAAATTTTTAAATGTTTTTAATTTGGAAAATAGTATAAAATAGGCCAATATAAAAAGTTTATAAAAGTATATAGACCAATTTTTAGTTATAAAAATTAATAGGTCATAACTTGTCAAGTTATAGTTCATAACTAGATAAGTTATGGATAAACTTGTCAAGTTATGGTTCATAGTCATGAAAGTTATGGATAATTATGGACAATAACTTGTCAAGTTATGGTTCATAACCAGACAAATTATGGACAAAAACAGTAATTTAACCTATTTATTAACTTATGTAAATTATTGACCTATTAATTTTAATTCATCTCAAATCTTTGTTTATTTCTCTCTTTATCTCTTTTAATTTTTAATGTTATAGAAGTTTTTGAAGGTGGGCCAGTTTTATTATTGAATTATCGCTAGTTACGAAAAGTGTGTGTTAAGTTAGCATCAGTTGGCATCACCATGGTTTTGGGCAAAAAACCTCCCATGTCTTTTTTTCTTTTCTTTTTTTTGTTAATATTTTACATCGCACTTACAAAAAAAAAAAATTAACCTGTTTTGATTTGTTTGGGCATATCAATTGAAATACGTTTTGGCTCCCTATTTTGATTGTCTCACTCCATCCCTTATAGCTTAAAATGACTCAAAATCTCACTTTGAGTTTATAATAAGTTACAATTTTTGTATTTTCATCAATAAAATATCAACTTTTAATTGTTTTAATCATACGATGCATGTGCCTGTTTGATAAGAAATATGGTAAATTTAAACAAAATAAACTCGAACTTAAAAAAAATCGCAATTCTTTCTCACTTTAAACCCCAAGTGTCGCGTCCTCTAATATTTGTTCTCAGCATTGATATTGCCCTTTTATATTATTTTTTACCAACTAGTCATGTGACTCTTCACTAAAAAGTTGGGTCTTCATTGTCGAAAGTACCAAAACGTTGCAATTGATAATAAGTTTGGAGGTTAATTTTCGTTTATTTTGAGTTGTAGGGCTAAATTTAAATTAATTTTATTAAATTGATTGTTGGTAAATGGTAATTACAACAATTACTTTTGAAAATTACTAACGCAATTGTGATTTAAAAAAAAAATCAAAATTAGTACTGCCTAAGGAATATTTTTCTAGTGTTCTAAATGAAATTTTATTTGCCACCAGTGTAGTGGCATGGTGGCAAGGATGCCTTGCTGAAGTCTCCCTCATCATTCACAGCACAGAGTTTGAATCCCCATTTTCACAAAAAAAGAAAAGAAAAAAAAAAGAATTCTTGTTCTAAAAGTGGTAATGTTTACGTATGGGTGGGTATAAGGGGCTTGTGGTAGACTGGTGAAACCTAGGTTGTAAATCGGAAGGGAATAAGTTTAGGCCCCGTTCACTTCGCTGATTTGAGTTGAGATGTGATTTTATGTGAGAGCTTTTTACTGTAGCAAAAAAATTAGATGTGATTGTTTGTGAGAACTTTTTACTGTAAAAAAACTTGAATTCTAAACTCGAATAAGCAAAATGAACAGGGCCTTAGACTCTTTGCCCTTGCACTAGTGAGACCAATTGATTTATTCTATAAACATTAAGTGGGGATGTGAGGACACCAATGATCCTTTTTTATGAGCAAAATAAAATTTTACTTTTCTCCTCACAAATACTTAGGTACTATAATATCCAGAAATTATAAAAATAAATCTTTTCAAATTTGAAATTTACTTGTAAATCTCTCCCAGTTGTTAACTGGACTAAGAAAAAAAAAAAAAACATACTTTTTCATATGTACTCTTAGGCATTGCCAAACATTTAAATTACTAACTATATGCATGAATACAAACAAACAACTCTCTACGACGGCTCTCTCTTCACATTCCTCATCCACACAACTTTCATTATCCTTCTTATTCTTCATTCCTACAACCAAATAGAGAGCAAGACTATGTGGGATGAAGATATTTTGACATTCCACTTAAAATACACCCTTTTTCCAACCAAAAAAAAAACATATTAAAAAAGGAGTCCTTGTATCATATCGTTAATTGCCACCAAGAATGAAAACAGATATCGGTGAAAAGATCAACTCTCTAAATTTAAAGAAATTTCAAAAAAAATATCGATATCGGTTTAAATATAAAAAAAAAGTTGTGGAGCTTGAAATATTTGTTTTAATACAATCTTTCTTTTCAATATCTTAGAATATGAAAAGCACTAGGACCTCTATAATGTTGATATTTTTATTGATATTTACTGAAATTTTCTAGAAAGTTTGTGATACTTCTTTGAGATTTTCGAAATTTCCAACGAAATTTAAGAATTTTTAAGTTCCCAATATACCTTTTGGGTGTAAAAAAAAAAGCTTCTCCTAAACTTTTTTGTAAATTTTAATAAACATGGGAGAAAATTCTTTTGCATTCAAAAATATTTCGACACCTTAATTTTACGAAAATTTTGATGAAAATTTCAAAAATGGTTAGAAATTTTCGCCCATGATCGCCACAAAGATCCGTTTTATCTCATTTCTCTTAACCTTTCTTTGTATTAGTTATTCTCTCTCAATCAAATCCCCATCCCCCTCACATTGTCCAATCTCCTCCACGGCTCCACCCACGCGATTTTGCAACCCCTTGATCTATGGCTATGCCGTGCCAAGCACACAACATAGAAAGGGATTTTTTTTTTTTTTTAAATGCTACTTTTCTTCTTAAAAACTTTGGGGTATTTTTATTTTTGCTTGTAGAAGATTGTCTCGCTCTGTTTTTCTTTTTCTTTTTTCCCTTTTGAAGGAGAATTTATATCTAAAGGGATCTTTGATAATTCTAAATGTACGAGAATACCTTTAAGAAAGAAAAAGCAAATTGTTATGATAATTATCCTTTCATACCATAAAATAAGTCCATCTTACCTAGTTTGTGACATACACAACTGTCAATTATTTGAAATCCTCAACGCTTTGGCCAAATATATAACAAAAGGGGAACGTAATACCAAACTTAATTTACACTGATTAGTCACTCTGCTAATTGGCAAGCTCTGCCCTCTGATGGCTAGAATTATTATAAATTTGCCTCTCATATGAGTCTCAATTGCCACCTTTCTTTCCGATGCTTCCAACATTTTCCTACAAAAGCCGCTGGTAGGCGGTGATAATGTTACCCAGAGAAACAGACATGTTGCTCTCATCACCACCTTCCCATCTGCGCCCTCTAGAACCCGCCGGCATGGTTGGCGTGAATACAAGAACCAGTTGCTTTTCTAAAAATATTGCATCCTGTGCATGACACTATTTAAATTGAGAATTCCACTGTTATCGGTATGTTTGTTTTACAATTCAAGTTTTGTTAGTGTACATGTTAACGTTAAAAATATTCAGCGCACGATATATAACTATTAGGCTTTATTTGTTATTTGGTTGTAGTCAAATATGCTGAGCTGGCAAGTAGTTTTGTAGTGTTATTTGTCGTTTCCAGTTTTAGCTTCGAGTAGAAGCTTCTTTGTTTTCCAGCTATATATATAGCTTTCCTGTAATTATCAATATTAAGCATTATCATTTTTTCCCTTTCTCGATCTTGATATGGTATCAGAGCGAAAACCACGCTTCTTTTGATCGATTTCAGATTTTTGCTTCGTTGATTCACGATTGATTTGTTCAATCGTTCTTTGATTGATCGTTGCCTTTTCCTTCGATTCAATAGTCTGTTTCTTCCTCAGCT